CCCTGTCTCTGTTCCGCCGTTTCCATCGTTTGTGCCTTGACGTGGTCTCCACTCTGGCTTTCTATTAATCTCATCATTTTATTACTTGATATAGTTTCTTCATTTTCTCTAAACCTGTACTTACATACTTACCTGTGCCCACCTTAACCAATGAGCCTCGATTGTCGGCCAAATAGTATTAGTAAAAAAATTCGTTTGGGAAACCAGCCAGGTTATTCTCCTCTCTCTTCTCTTCTTCTCTCTCTCTCTCTTCTCTCTTCTCTCTCTCGCTCTCTTCTCTCTCTCTCCTCTCTCTCTCTCCTTTCTTTCTCTCTCGCTTCGCTTCCTCTCTTCTCTCTCTTCTTCCCTCTTCTCTCTTCTCTCTCTCTCTCGCTCGCTCTCTCTCCCGCTCCCTCCCTCTTTTCTCTCTTCTTCTCTTCTCTCTCTCTCTCCTCTCCTTTCTTCGCCTCCCTCCCCCCCCGTCTCTCTCTCCTCTCCCTCTCTCTCTCTCTCTCTCTCCTCTCTTGTGCTCTTTCTCTCTCTCACTCTCTCTGCTCGTCTCTTCTCCCTCTCTCCCTCCCTCTTTCTCTCTACCTCTCTTCCCTCTCTCTCTCTCGTTTCTCTCTCTTTTCTCTCTCTCTCTCGCTTCCCCCTCTCTCTCTGCTCTCCCTCCTCTCCTCTCTCTCTCTCTCTCTATGCTCCCCCTCTCGCTCTCGCTCTCTCCTAATGGCCAGCACACTTCCACTACGGAGACTCACGTGACACTGGCCTTTTGATGAAATTTGATTAAATTTGCGCCGCGCGCCATAGCATACGAAAATTATGATAGCATTTTATCACCTCTGCGGTGAGATTTAACGGCGAACATGAACGGAGGTCACCCACTTAGTACAATGACGATTTCGGCATTAATAATATATTCAGCAGAACCTTCGTTGGAAACAGGGCGAGCAGTGGCGACAGTTGTTGTCGTGTAGGGTTTCCGAGCACGCAACAGGTTTTTGACATGCGGTGCAGATTGCCAGCGGACAGCGACGAGTAGCAGCAAGCAGCAGCAGTACCACCACAAGCCCGCAACGTACAGTAGCAGCAGGCAGGTAGGTAGTTAGTAGGAGCGAGCATAGTACCACGACCACGCAGGCAACAAGACAGCAGCGAGCACCACCACCACCAGCAGCAGCACCACCACCACAGGCAAACAGCAGCAGTAGCACCACACCCACCGCAGGCAGCAGCAGTCAGAACAGGCAGGCAGCAGTAGCAGCAGCCAAGCACGGTGTCAGCGGACCGCTTTGGGATATTGGTTCTGGCGACAAAAGAACCATCACGCTGCTCGGCTACGCGCGCGTTTTGACCCGCTGAGCCCGATTACGTCATTTTCTCATTCTCAAGCTACTCTCTCAGCAGCAAGGAGCTAAATATAAATATAAATACATTTATAAACTCCTTGTTACCGCAAGCTGCGGCCCAGCAACAGCGTGACGTCACGTACGTTACCCCGACAACCCGACGTGGAATCCACGCGCCTCTTGAAATAGTAAGAATGGCGATAGCTAGATCTTGATAGCAAATGTATGAAAACATAAAGAAAGAAAAGATGATAGCAAAGCATGGCAACTTTGCCGTCTTTCCGCCAGCGTTTAATATCGTCTATCAGCTGCATATATACAATCTAGTTTTTTGTCATCTGTTGAATTCCCACTCGGTTATGGTTGGCACACATGCGGCCCACGGTACAGCCACAGTACAACTACGGTTCAGGAGTAAGCAGGGCTCACAAGCTCCACGCCATTTCGGCAAGACGAGAGTTTATACAATAAATAGACTCAACACGCGGGATTGATCATTTGTTTGTGCCCAGGACATTAAAGTTAACTTGCGCGTAGCCGTGTCCCGAAAATTCACAAGTCTACGCCCCTGAAGCGCACAAGACGCCTAGTTATGAGATAAAACACATATGTAAAACACTATTTACATAGCAATGTGGCGAATTACTCCGGACTAGCCTGCAGACGATCACATGCCCGCCGCGCACGTTGAATCTTTTTCAAATATCCGTTGACTAGGATCCTTTACTCTAGGTTCTAGGGATCATTCTTTCAGTAATTTCAGTTAAAATTACGCTACATAAAAAGTTTCCATGGTCTCAATCACCATAGAAATATTTCTTTTTTAATGTTTTAAAACTAACGACTACAGTTTGATTTTCAACGACGGTGGCCGCCCACTCAAAAAGCGCACCGATCTGAAAAGTTTCGCAAAACGGACTTTTCAGCCCAAGGGACTTATCAGGAACGAGGGTAGGTTTCTTATTTATTAATTTAAAAGGGCAAAAGGATTGTAAATACTCTTTATAGAAACGATATATAGTTTCCAGTTACTATTATGGCATAAATTTGATCCTAAAAAGTTAACATCGGTTCGGTTAAATAGCATTTAGATAATAAATGAAATAATTGCA